TCAGATGTTTCTGTTAAAAGATATGACGGTGTAAAGTTTCGAAGTTACAGGAAACGTAAAAGCGTCGTGTATCCTTGTCTTTCGTCGGTGATTTAAATGTAAACAAACATTCACACATTCATTAAGGTCAATTTAACTATTCATGAAAATCTTGTCAGTTATATGTTACTATTCAAAAAGTTAGCACCGTGAAAATCATAGATATCACTGTGTTTGATACAGAAGTGAATATGTTATTAGTATTAGGTGAATGCCAAAAGAATTATCGGCGTGCAACAGTAATGTTTTTTGAACGTTATGGGATTAAAAAATCGCACGTGTCATTTTTTAATGTAGAAAAGCTGCTTCGTGAACATAGTAAATTGCGTACAACACACAATAAAAAAAAGTGATATTAAAAAATGACATGTGTGATTTTTTAATCCCATAACGTTCAAAAAACATTACTGTTGCACGCCGATAATTCTTTTGGCACCTAATACTAATAACATATTCACTTCTGTATCAAACATAGTGATACCTATGATTTTCACGGTGCTAACTTTTTGAACAGTAACATATAACTGACAAGATTTTCATGAATAGTTAAATTGACCTCAATGAATGTATGAATGTTTGTTTACATTTAAATCACCGACGAAACACAAGGATATGCGACGCTTTTACGTTTCCTGTAACTTCGAAACTTTACACCGTCATATCTTTTAACAGAAACATCTGACAAAAAAATGTTTTGAACAAAATGTACTTGTTTTTTGCCGTAGAATCCAACCATTTAACATTTTACAGAAAGTCTCGTTTGAAATTACAAAGTTACCCCCTTTAAAGGGGGGCAGGGAATAACTTAATATTTATGTAGTTAGATAGACCCCTCGAATACATAAAACTTTCTCATGAACAACTTTTTGATTTGACAAATTGTTTCCGAAATATTCAGCTGTTAAGAGTTATGTGGGTCACCCTGTATAAGATTTAACAATTTCAGTGACGTTTATATTTAAAAGTGCAATTCTTCTTTGAATTTTCCGCGACTTTAATTGACTTTTAAGGCAACTCAGTAATTTCGGGCGACGAAAAAGTTAGTACAGAAAGAATAATAATCGCCTCACATGATCTAATCCAACCAGACTAATTCAACTTGGCGTCTACCAGCGGCATACTAATCCAAGTACTTTTAAACTCGCATGACCTAGAAGTAGCAGACGGATGGATTCGAGAATCCATTAGCGACCAATTGAAATTCTGATCTAGTCCGCTAAAGAGCGAAGTACTTGAATACTTTTATGCGAGCAACGAACGTCTTTCGCCGTTATTTTAGTTTCGTAAGAGTCCATTACTGCTGGACGGTTATGAGATTAAAAATTTCCTACTTCGGAAGCCTCCGCATCGTAAAAGCTGTAAAACACCAGGATTACAATGTAAATTCCTTTCTGGAAGGAAGAAAGAAAAGAGAGAGAAAGAGAAAGAATATTTATGGCGGTAACTTCTTCTCTCCCGATACAATGATGATTAATAGTGCATGAAAATTTTATTCAGCTTAAATTTAATCATTCCGGAAGTTAATATGTACCTTACGCGCGTTTGGAAGAAATTTTGTAAATTTTTGGAAGAAATTTTTAACGTTCCATGATTATCGGACGGAATTTTGTCTGTCATTAATAATTTCGGATAATCTCGCGAGGAGACAGATGAGCCCAAAGTGAATTTCCTGAAATAGTTGATAATTGAAGGAAATTGAGAAGGCTGATCGATATCATATGATTGAACGTGCGCGATGCATTAACAACTCGCTCCGGGATTGCGGCGGATCTCGTAAAATTGGAAATTAGGGACTGCGTCGGCGGGTGAGCGGGGGTGACCAGGTATTTAAATGGATTGAATTTGAATCGACGCCAGAGGAAAGCGTGTGCCAACTATCGAAAGATGTTCGTAAAAGATGAAACTCTTAGCTCATCATCGGACGAATTAATCGCCATCTCGAATCGAGTTCAATTATTATTAAAGAGATTGCAATTCGCGAATTCGATAAACAATCTGACCGAAAACGGATGGTACTCATGTTGAATATAACATTTTCGAGACAAACCTTTCATCAATTCGTTGAATACTTGGAACAGACATGTATGATTAATGTTAACCTTCCCCACTTTTTTTGTACTTTATCAACGATAATGTTACATAAACTTTATTATCGTATGAAATCAATATTAACAATTATTTTATAAGTATTGCCGTATACACATGGAAAAAAAATGAAAAAGGAAACATTCCAATATTTTAAAACCATTTTCTATCAATTTTCTACAATTTTGAATGTTCATTCATGTAACATTTAACCACTTACTTTTTAATTCGTCAAATTTTTGCAGAACACTGTGTCAACATCAACATAACGTCACATGGAGATCTCTCTCGCACAACGATGGGAGATTAATTCCGCTAACGGCAAAGTTAGAATGCATCCCTCTTTTTTTAAAAAAATAGTTTTTGAAATTCTCTCTCTCTCTCTCTCTCTCTCTCTACACGCTTTAATCCATTTAATTTCTCACGGAGCTCGGGATGTTCCGAAAATGTCGATTCCTCTCTGAACAACGCAAAATCATCCTCACGGGTACAATCTCACCACGGGAAATTTTTCGTCATAAATATTTCAGGCGGCGTCGGCCTGGCTTGTAGGAACGCCTGGCATCGTTTCGCGGACGAGCGACGACGACATCCTTTCGACGTGACTTCCGAAATTCCGTCGGAATGGCGTATTCTCAGCATCCGTCATCGGGAAACGCGGAGCACGCGTGACACGTGTCGCGTGCACGTGCACCCGTCAACTGCCGGATAAAACCATTTGTCAAATCCAGTTTCGCGCCGAACAGGCAAAGCTCCCCAGAATTCCTTTGACGCTCCGACGAAAGGAATCGGCAGTCTTGCCCGAGATCGAAAGTGGTGTCGACGGATGGTGCAAGACCGTCGGCTTGGCAAAAGCCAAATATCGTATATTGTTATGCGCAACGCAACTCCTTCCTCGCACCCTTGTGTACATAAGGAGGAAATATTTTAAGTTCTCTCTGCTTATTACTCTCTCTCTCTCTCTCTCTCTCTCTCTCTCTCTCTCTCTCTCTCTCTCTCTCTCTCTCTCTCCCCCCTCCCTCCCTGCCTCCCTTCCTCCCTCTCTCTCTTCCTCTCCTCCTCTTTCCCGCTTTTCTTTATCATTTCGCCGACACAACGGGAATGCGAATGTTTCTCTCGCGGGAGACGCCGCTGTGACAAATAAAATATCGATACTCTCTGCTGATATCATTTCTCATTTTGTGCGGCTGCATGCGTGAAATCCCTGCGGCAAAGCTCTGTTCTTTCTCGGAAACTAGATGGAAAACGACGCACGGCGCTGTCGGCGGCAGTTTTCGCAATTAGCCAGTTCAACGTGTTCAATGTGCTCTAGCAAGCTCTTTTACCAGCGTCCGCCGCACCGTTCGCTTCCACGCGCGGAACGTTGTCGAATCAAATGCCATTAGCAGACGTCCCTCGCGCGTTGTCTCAATATTTCCACAGCTTTCCCACAGCTTTTCACAGGGATAATGCAAATATTGCCCTGAGAACGGTCACCTCCACGATTATCTTCGCGGAAAGAGATCCACGCGATTTTTCCCCTTTTAATTTATGCTAATTCTTGATGTTTCGTAACGCGTTCGTTAATTAATTATCGTTAATTAAACTATATAGTACCTTCCGCAAGATGTATGTACTAAAAATTCTGATATACCACAAACAGCATTAGAAACTTAGCACTAGACGACTTTTAAAAGGATGAGATAAAGTGCATGTAATTTATATATTCCGTTTAATTTATTAAAAGAAAATATTTATATAAAGACATCACGCGATTTTCGAAACATACGAAATACTCTGATGATGGTTTTTCTTATAAAATTGCAATCACTGGTCAAGCCTGATTCTTCTTTTACACTGTGCTTTCGTGAGAATTTATACGTGCAAATTCGCACAAATAGCACAAGAAGCGCTTTGACTGTCCTCTTATTTTTTGAGATTTATGTTGATGGCTGAAATGCCTCAAAGGCGCGGACGATGATGCCTTGGAAATATTCCGCCATCAATTCCAGATGATGGGAGAAAAATTACGACGCGCATGTTTTACAATTTTAATTTCGCTGTTACTATGTGCGAGAAGAATGGTCGAGTGCGATGGTTACGATGAATAAGAAGAGTAGTCGATCGAATATTTATATCGATTTGCCATCGAGGGTTGCCGCGCCTCGCGCTGCATTATGGGAATTATCGAGGGAACGATCGAGGGGAAAATGTACGAGTATTCTAGAGAACGTGTGGGGAAACGAGAAAGAAGAAATGACAGTAAGAGAGAGAGAGAGAGAGAGAGAGAGAGAGAGAAAGAGAGAGAGAGAGAGAGAGAGAGAGAGAGAGACACGCATTCCCGTTCTGCAATACGTTGCATCTAGCGAGGGTGAAAAAAATTAAGTTCATGGTTGGCAAGTTGAAATAGCGTGTGTCGACAATGTCGCGAAAATAAAGCGCAACTTGCGTATTCTGAATGAAGATTGCCAGAAACGACAAGTAGGAAACGGATACGAAGGATACGAAGAATGCATCCTTATGAATCTCGCTCTCGAGATGTTGCAAAATGTATACATATACATGGATTTGTTGGATCTTTTATTAACTTTGAACACTTCTTTGTGGAATATAGGGGACGACGAATCGATGAATGTGGAAATATTACTTGTTATAAATACCTTAAAAATTCTAGTACATATTAAAAAAAATAAAATAAAGTGACATCTTGTTGCGGAATTTAATCGTTTTATAAATTTCCGCATTTATGTGAATGTGTGTGTGTATATATATCATATGTGTACACACGCACACACAAGCGTACAACTAAAGTCGTATACTTTATATGCTCATGTAAATGTCACAGTCGTAATTTTCTCATTCTAATCTCAATCTCGTGATTGTGATTCTCGTTGCAGATGTCCTGACAGCGGGCCCCGGGCCACCAGGATGCCGACAGACGACGACTATGGCCGAAGAGATCGTCTCCTGTTGCACCAGCACCCGATCGCTCAGTACGGGTCCTCGTCATCTTCGCTTCTCGCATCGAGCGTGCCAAGTTCCAACGTGGTGGAGCTTCAGATCGGTCCCAGTAACTCCAACGATTGCTTCAAGCAGCAAGTTCAGCAGCAACAGCAACAGCAGCAGCAGCAACATCAGCATCAGCAACAGCAGCACCAGCACCAACAACAACAACAACAGCAGCAACAATCGCAATCCGACTTGCGTGCGGTCGCGAATGCGACTGCAAGCCAATTGGGCCCGGAGCGCTATCAGTCGGATCAACAGATCCAAAGTAACGAGCATGTCGGGGTCCGAATGGTCGATCGGCACGAGAAGTCTACGGAGAAGCCCACGATCGACTTCTCAAAGTGTGGAGAGAGTCGTGCGTCGAGCTGCGACCGCTTTGGGCATTATCAGGTCCAGGGCGGCGAGCATGCGGCGGGTCGGATGGGCGTCGAGCGGCATGAGAAAGCCGCGGACAAGTCTTCTGTCGATTACGCTAAATGTGGAGAAGTTCGTCAGTCGAGCTGCGAGCGTTACTGCGCGCATTATCAGGTCCAGAACAGCGCGAGTCAGGCCCACGTCGTGGTGGGTGCTCGAATGGCCGAACGACACGAAAAACAGTGTCCGACACCAGCACCGTCCGTGTCCGACAAGCCAACATCGATCGACTTCGCAAAATGTGTCGCCGACGGCCGACAGTCGAGCTGCGAGCGTTTCGGCGGGCATTATCAGACTCCGACGTTCGGTCAGTCCCCGTTACAAGGACACTACGGCGCGGGCGCGGCGCGACCGGCCGATCGCTTCGCACGCTTCAACGACCTCAGCGCGCTGCACGCTGGAGCGACGGAGCAACGGGGGGGTGTGGTGGTGCCACCACCGACGAATGCGGATCGTTACTCGATCTGCAACTCGGAGTTGCGTTTCGATACGGGTACGACGAGCGGCACGACGAGCGAGCCTAGCGAGTATGCGAACGCGAACGTCCTTGCAAGTACCTTTTCCACGGAGACGTTCCCGTCGCCGCCGTCGCCGGCGCCAGCGAACGACCGCTTCGTCCCACCGCCGCCATTGTCGCCCAGCCCGAGCGAGAAGTACGCCTCGAGCCAGAGTCTGGCTGGTTACTCTGGTACTGATCGCGTTCTGCCCCCCAATTCTCCGGGGCCCAAGTACGGGGTCGGCGGTACTGCCCCAGCATCGCCAATGCCCTCCAAGGAGCGCTTCACCTCCGCCGAACGGCTACTGGCCGGTCAGCAGTCACTCGCAGGCAGCGACTGCGCCAAGGATCAGCAACGCTACGCTGGACCATCCGATCGCCTGCTCTCAGGCTCCTCACCAGTCTTGGGCGGACTGCAGACTGGATTGCAAGCCGGATTCCAGAGTAGCGGCCTCTACGCTAAGGACACTCGTTACACCGCCATTTCCGCCGATAGGTTACTATCCTGCTCGCCGATACACGCTCCAGTACCAGAGAGGTTCGCCGGCAAGTCGGATCGGTACCTGGTCGAGTCGCCCATTCACGACAGGTATCCTCGACAGGATCCGCCAACGACGACACATCATGAACGATATTCGATATCGATGGCGACGGCCACCGAGAGGTGAGCTGGGATCGCGTCGCGCGTGCCTCTCTGTACTGCTCTCTCTCTCTCTCTCTCTCTCTCTCTCTCTCTCTCTCTCTCTCTCTCTCTCTCTCTCTCTCTCTCTCTCTCTCTCTCTCTCTCTCTCTCTCTCCTCTCTCCCTCTCTCCTCTCCCCCTCTCTCCCCCTCTCCCTCTCTCCCCTCCTCCCCCTCTCTCCCCTCTCCCCCCTCTCCCCTTCTCTCCCCCTCTCTCCCCCTCTCTCTCCCTCTCTCTCTCTCCCTTCTCTCTCTCCCCCCTCTCTCTCTCTCTCTCCTCCTCCCTTTGAAAAAAGACAAATTGCTCGCTTAGATGTATTTTGTAGGAAACTCGTGAAAATCGCAGTCTTTCTTTTTTTTCACATTTTCATGTATATTATTATTCAATTCGTTGATTCTCCTTCCGAAAACCGTCCCTTAGGTTTCTCTCGAACTCGTCTAATCCTGAGAGCGCGCATCAGCGTTATTCATCGACGTCGGATCGTTCGTCTCTTCAAAGCACATCCAACGGCGCCGAGCAAACTAGACGTCTCTGCAGCGACAGAGGCGTCGAGACAATCTGCCAAAAGTATTCGACGGACCGATCATCCAGTTCCCCGGTGTCCGCCGACTTCGGCCGATACACCGGCTTTCCGGTGGAGGTCGGCACCACCAGTCAGATGCGATACCTGTCCAGCAACGACCGTTTCAACGACCTTGCGCTGCAGCGATGCAGCCAGTCGCGCTCGTCGGCTGACAGGTTCTCCAGCGACCGTTACCTCGCCGGATCGTCACCTGCGCACGACGGCAGGTTATCTAGCGCCGAGACACCGCGTTACATCGTCTCGTCCACGGAACGTTTATTGGCGCCGACGTCCTCCTCGCCGTCCTCCTCCTCGGAGACTGGTAAGCGCGATTCTCACTTCTCCGTGGAAGAAAACAGATACAAGACAGATTCTACGAAACATGACATTACATATTTATGAGATGCATATCAAGAGAGAATAGGATAATCTCGTTAAAATCATAAAAATTTTTGCGCCAATTACATTTCTTTGTCGTTCTAATAAGAAAAGTGACAATAACAATATACATGTTAGATTATTATCAGCTAACTAGCTGTAGCAGCACTAACATAGCGCGCGCATGCGCCTTTTATATATACCAATCAAGATATTATCATGAAGAAAATGAAGGTTGAATAAAATGAAATTAGTAATTATAAATATATGTCGCGAGCTTAGTCACGTCGGGGTGTCAATGCGAAATAGTTTTCTCTCACTGCAGTATACGGGATGAGACAATGACAATTGCTTGACAATGACTTCGAAATTAAGGAAAACATTACAAAACAGTATTTATCACACAAAAGTTTTAGGCTTTTAAAAAGGGATTTACGAATTACAATAACTAATTATGAGTGTTTCTCGTGGGATCTCAGGCGCCAGATACCACTCACTTTATACGACTACCACTGGCACCCAATCGTCAGCGTCCAGCGATCGTTTCGTATCAATATCACCGACGCCCGAAGTGTCACCGAACGTTCATCGCGGTAGCGGCGTCGGCGGCGGCGGCGGCGGCAGCGGCGGCGGCGTCGGCGGCGGCGGCGGCGGCGTCGGCGGCGGCGGCGGCGGCGGCGGCGGCGTTGGCGGCAGCGGCGGCGGCGGCATTGGCGGCGGCGGCAGCGGCAACGGCGGCGGCAGCAGCGGCAGCGGCAGCGGCGGCGGCGGCAACAGCGGCGGCGGCAACGGCGGTGGTAGCGGCGGCGGCAGCGGCAGCGGCGGCGGCGGCAGCGGTAGCAGTAGTGGCGGTAGTGGCGGTGGTGGCAGCGGCAGTAACGGTAGCAGTTACCAAAACACAAAGAACATTGTCGACAAGTACCTGGTCTCAAAATCAGTCCAAAGTAACTACGATCGTTACTCAGTCGGCAGCCAAAACGATCATCAATTCGGTCAAGACCGGTATTTCACGTCTGGAGGTGGTAACGAACGATTTCAGACCTCCGGAGCTGACCGTTTTCACGCTGCTTCCGATCGCTACTCGCCGGTGCGCAGTGTTACCGACAAGTACCTATCTTTACCGAAGCCCAAAGACAGGTTCACCGGCCGTATAACACCCATCTCTTGCGCCACCGCCGTTGCAACGTCATCCACCGATCGTTCCTATGGTTCGTCCGGTGTGAGCTACGTGCCCCCGACCGCGCACACTCCCGTCGAGCGATACGTACCACAGCCACCCCCGGAAGTGCTCTACCCGGATAGGTAAAGACAGACATAATAATATATACAATAAACAAACAATGAGAGGTTTTCTCAATGTATATCGTATTTTCGAATCAATTTCTTTAAAGAATTCAACAATACAAGTTATAGATTTGGAAACATATAAAATAAACCAACGTTAGTTTTTATTTGCAAATATGCAAAATTAGTTCTACCAAAGACTTGCAACAAATTCGTTAGATAGATATTTACCTATATTCTTTTCATGAAGGGTCTGAGGCTAATGAGAGTCACCGCAGGATGGTGGTTGCTAATAATGAGTTTTGGGAGAAATGTCCAACATTATAACGATGACGAAATTATTTACGAATTGTATCCAACAAGTGGCAAGTATAAAGTGTTTTAGTTCGATTTCCAATTTAGGCAATGCTTTTTTACCATACTACACGTCAACGTCAAATTAGCTTCTACAGTTTGACAGCGGAAAAGGAGAATATACAGTTAAGAATATATAATTATTTGAATTATATTTATACATCAGCTTATCCGTGTAGACATGTACGTATAATTACGGATGATTGTACACAGTCATAAAGAGACAAATTTCGCATATAATATATGATTACTTTTCCTCGGTACCTTATTCTTCTGCAATTAATTATTCATAACCAATATTTCTGCGATGGCTTTCTTTGACTCTGAATTCTTCGTCATTAAAAATCTAAGAGCCCAAAAATGGAATTTATTGGCCTCAATAATAAATAAATATAACTTGTTTTATTAATAATAATAAAACTTGTTATATTTAAAACATCAACGATCGTTATCCATTAAATTTTTAACTATCTCACACACACACACACACACACACACGGGATATTTTTCGATTCTACAATTCCCAAAATTGCTCCGCTTGTGAGCCAAATAACGACGATTCAATGAACTTGTGCAAACCTTTAATATATTGCACGAGTACATGCAGTAATATTTATTTTAATATTTATTTTAATTTGGTAAATCTTCGATGAAGACACGTGTCTGCGATTGAAAGCCCGGCTTCGGACGCTTCCCGAAGTCTCGTGAGCTGCTCTATTCGACTGGCGTTTCAAAAGCTCCCTCTTTCTATGATTGTCCAGGTTCGTGGACAGGTATGTGCCGCCGGCGGCGCACACACCGACTGATCGATATGTACCCGCGAGCGATCCAGGTGATCCGTATATGCGTCGAGACCTCGGTTTTCACCATCATTACCGGCTACCGCCGCCCGCTGGTTACCCGTACCAGACGCACTTCCGCTTCCGTGGGTTCGCATACGCCGCGTCCGGTCGGCTTGGTGGCAGCCCTGGCTCCAGCAGCTCCAGCAGCACAACATCCAATCAACGGGAGACCTTCGCCACGTCGCCGTTGCTAAGACCCAAAGTGCGCGCGTCCACGGTCGAATTCAGTAGCGCCGTCGGCGGTGCCGCAACCACCACGGCGACCGCCGGTGTCGGTCGTCATATGTGCGCGAACCCGGTCGATTGCTGCGGAGACACATCCGCGAACGCAAGAGCCTGTTGCCAGATGAGGAGATCCCTACCGCCTGGAACGCTTCCTACGATACCCGTACAGACTTCATCGTGGTGAGTATTTGTTGGAGTATTTTCTTCATCCGGCAGAACAGATTTCCTGCGTTGCTTCCTGCAAGATTCTGATCCGAATCCGACAAAGCACGCATATTCAAAAGGTCAGAGATATGAAGATTTATATTTGCGCTAAGTCATAGCAAACGTAAGAGAGTTTTGCTTGAATTTATAATTGTTTATAATTATCAACACACATTGATCAACGTAGTTATCATCAAAGTGGTAGGTCGGAGAACATTGTTCCTGACACCGTTTTAATGTGTCTTAATTCGATGTGTCAATTAATCTCTAACTCATCATATTTATTATTATTATATTTGAATAATTATATAATTGTATATTACGAAGAATTATATATAAATTTGCGAATAGATTTTCAAATAACTTCGTTTTAACGACATAAAAGACGTAAAGTTTCATTTTTATCAAGTAGTATTGTTAGAAAAGAGCTTGGACTTCCCAAATGAACAGAATACAAATTTTCCTCTTCCCCTTCCTGCCAGAGAGATATCAAGTCCTATACTGAATTAAAAAATGAAGGAATAGTTTAGTGTCCTGTTTAGCCCTGTACCCTGATTAGCCGCGAATTTCGCTGTAAATCGTGTGCGTAATCATACAGTCCAATCAAAAAAAATCGATTACAGAGAGCTTAAGAACAGGTGAAAGCCAAGCCACGTGTGTTAAGAGCTTGCGCGTGTAATCCGCAGATTATGCAGGAGGAGTATGGCAGGGAGGCTGGCTTTCACAATGCACAAATTCGTGTAATAATACGTTTGTATCATAAAGCTTGAACGAATTGGAATGGAGAAGAGCCTCTTAATTGAGGGATAAATGTTATTTATGGGGTCAATGGGCGCCTCTCTCACAGAAACTTCCAACATGATGGCATTTCTTGTCGTTTTACCAAATTTGAACAATATCCACCTTCAATTATTGCTCAAATATATACACATATAGATTCTCTCTCTCTCTCTCTCTCTCTCTCTCTCTCTCTCTCTCTCTCTCTCTCTCTCTCTCTCTCTTTCTCTCTCTCTAGCGCGCGAAAAATAATTTTATTCTCGACCCTATTAAAGTACAGATAAAAACAGAAGTTAAAATACACTTTAAAATCGAGATTACAAGATTAGCGACAAAACATCACATCATTTATAATTTGATTGAAACATTTATAACGTTTAGTTTAAACGGCTCGAAGAACGTCGAGTGCAGAAATAATTGTACGCGAATGAAACGGCCGTTTCATTAAATTTTTTCCCTCAATAGCGTGGAGTTTATGAAAATCTCTCCGGGCGTGCAATGTGCAACGCTATATCTGCAAGCGCTAAAGTGGAACGTTAAGTCCAGCAACAATAATTAACTCTTTGCAAAACAATGATGACACACTAGCGATTTCACAAAAACACGATCGCAGTATTATCTCGCATGGTGGATTATTTCAGGAGATCGCGATCAAACATTCGTCAAAAGGCTCGTCAAAGGCTTCACTCGTATATCGCTGTCTGTCGTTTTCCCTCCTATAGTACCCTTTCCCGGTACTAAGAACGTTCTAATAGTCACTGAAACGATTTCGTACAGTCGGGGGCGAAGGAGCGGAAGAAAATAAAACGGGCTGCGATACTCCATTAACCTGATTGCCACGACGAAAGCGTGGTCGACCTTCCCGAGGTTTTCGGCTTTCGTGCCGCCAAATGCAGGCTCGCGTCCTAAATACCGACTCACAGCTAAAAATGCTGTCCTTTTGAGGCAAGTCCAGAGCCGAACAAGTCAGGAGTAAAATCCGATTAATAATAATGATAATAATCGATGCCGAGGATCCGATTGTCGCCAGACGGGGGAGGAATTGATAGGTCAAAACAGGACGTTTTTGAATAGGATGCGGAGACACGTTTAAACAATTCAGCAATTCGCGCCCAGATAATAAAACGTGGTTCAGGGTTCAGGGTGTTTATACCGCCGATGACGCGATGTTGAAAAGTGAGTGAAGAAAAACGCAAAGACTGCCAATCCACCTTCCGGAATGTCGTTGATTAATTACTCAAATGTCTTTTCATGTCGTATACGTAGGATCGTTGTTATTGTTGTCATTTGCCTTGCTCAACCATACATGAGCGCTGAAGCTATTGGTTACCGTTTAGGTGGCGACGCGTGCAAAATTAGCTCGGGCCAACTCTACGGGCTACTTCACGAGCTCGATTAACGTCAGCGAACGGTCGAGCTATCCGCTGCTGATAGGGAAGGGGAGCGGAAGAGGTAGATGATGGCGTTAATCTAAATCCGTAAAATTCCCATGGGATTTCACCGCAGGAGCGGGTGCAATTTTCGCACGATCGATCTTCGCACGGTTCGTCCATCCGTCCTCTCGTTTCTCAGCCCTGGATTTCTTCATTCGAATTTTATCCAAATTAACTGCTGGACCGCTCTTGCACGATGCGTTCGCGTTATGGCAAGGATGGACACTACTGAATATGAAGGAAACATAAAGAGAAGGAGGAGAGAAGGGAGAACTGCAGACGAGACGGGGATAGACGAATGACCTGGAAGTCGTAAGGAGAGCATCCGGGCATTGTCTCGCACCGGCAACGACGATGTTTCACGTACTACTGGCAACTTCGGTAATTATGTCGTGCTCGCGAGTTTAACTGGCCCCGTCGCACGAAATTGCAACCTGACACTGGTCGTCGCTACGTGTCAGTTAAGGATTTTATCCTTTCTTCTTTTATCCCCGCAACTCTCTTCTCTCCTTTCTCTCATGTTCCCTCATTAGTTGACTCTTAATGACCGCGATACCAAAACTATCGATTTGCGCAATTTGCCTCCTAGCGGTGCAACTACCAAACGACTGCTTTGATGTGCGATTCGTTGCGGTGCGAAGCGTTATTCCTAAAGATTCCAGAAAGGAATCTTTTCCGGAAGGCGTTATACCCGAACGAAAATGAAAAAAAAAGAAAACAACCGATGGTAGACTCCTGCTCTGATATTACACGAGCGTGAACATAATTATTATTATATTATAATTCATTCCTCCGTTCTTTCAAATATTATTTCGAAATAAAGTGAATTACGCATGCTAAACTATACGTTTGCAGGAAATGTAGAAAAAAATGTGTTAGCTGTTTTACGTCAAAGGAGCGCTTTTCGTTGATCCAGTACTCAATTTTATACGGTAATTGTTACCAGAAAAGAATGGGATGTTCTTCTCTATTTAAAAGCTAGCCCGACAAAGCTATCCGTCGCGTAATATTCTTCATAAATGCGAATTTTACATATTGAAAATAACCAACGTGATATCGCCGTCCGCGAGTCGGTGCGGAAACGCATAAGTATCCAACATCGACACACATGATCCTTGACGACGGAGGTGCAAGAACAAATCCCGATGGATCTCGTGGTCACCTTCGTGATTATGAGCGAGTATCCTCCAGGATTTCCTGCCGACGATCCCACCATTATCCTGTCCGTAAACGTGCTCTAGCACGTTCGGGAAGCGGGAAATGCAGTCAGTTCCGCTCACGTAGATCCGAATGGTCACGTCCGTACGTCATCGTCTAATAATAATAATAATGGAGATCTCGATGACACGTCAGCGAACTAAATTATGGCAGATCGATAAGCCTGCGTCACTGACATGCATTATTTGACTACCAGAGGTACATAAGCGTATATAACATTTTACCGTTGTTAGTGACTAAAGTGACTAAAGACAACTTTTGCTTTCTTCCCTCCTCCTCTCATTCTCTAGATATAAACATCTAATCATCTTTACTTCAAAAAATAGAGTTTAAAGGGAATGAAAGAATACACTTCCAAGGATATTTCGTTGCCTCCCACAGCTCTTTTCTTCAGGATTACTTTTCTTCAGGATTCTCCAGGATACCTTGGATTTTCCTTCGGGAAGAGATTCCAAAGGCGAAAGTTGAATACTACCTCTTCATCTCGCTGTCGTAAACTCGAGATCATTCGTGCGTCTTATATCGACGTAATTCTCTTAAAAAAGAAAAGGAAACTATAAAATTCATCTTGAGGAAGAGAGAGAGAGAGAGAGAGAGAGAGAGAGAGAGAGAGAGAGAGGAAAACAGAAGTTCGGCGATTCTAAAGATAGATATGTAGATTACATAAATTTCAAGTTTGAAAAGAAAAAGATATCTGTGGGTGAGATGTAAAGGAGAAGAAGCTGCTAAATGCGTCACAATTTTATATACATCATTAACGTATATAATTTGTAAGTTTGTAAAAATGTTGCAAAAGGGATTGTTATATAAAACAATATTTAGCCGGACCCTCTAAAAAGAGATCCCCTAATAAATGATGGACGTATGTTCTAGATTACGCGCAGTAGAGCATAGAACACCGAGCATAAGCGCTAGTGGCGCGAACACTCGCTCGAGATAAATAAAATCCGTACGGACCTGCTCCCGGCTTGTTGCAGATTGCATAATAATGCGTTAGATAATGCAATAGTAGTCCCCGCCGGTTCAGAGGCTTTTAGTGGGAATCTGCGCAAACCGCAAAATCCTATTAGGTCCCATCATCACCTATATCCTCTTAAAATATTGTTGCCTCGTGCATTACCGCACATGCAAAACCGATCATTGCAAAAATATGCGAGAAAGAAGTCAATTTGGTAGACCGTAGGCGTACACGGAAATTTTTATCGCAAATATTCAATTTTTTATGCAGGAAAAAAGTCCATCTTTCTAAAAAATTCACGTCTAAAAGGTTCTTTGTACTGCTAATTTCACTAAAAAATAGAAATTTTGATATATTCGCTATTAGAATTTAATTTACTTTTTATCGCGTTCCTTCCAACGTTAACCGTATATTGATACAAGATAGAAAATCACGTGTTTCATTTCTTTACATTTCTATAACTTTGTGTTTGATTAACAATGCGAGAACACTCGTTGTAAAAATAACTCTACGAATCGCTAGCATATTTGCAGCGAGTAAACCTAATAAACCACTCTCGGCAGGTGAAAGGGAACCTTCAGCTCACAAGAATGGTATCCTTTCAACTTTAACTGCGGATTATCTATATCTACCGTGTATACACATCTGTGCCGGGGCATAGTATGCCTTTTTCCACCGAACGAGCTGCGTAAGAAATCTCCATTAGTCTCAACATTCACATTTATTCTGTTCCCTGTCTCCGCCTGTTTTTATCTCTTTTTCTCTCTCCTCCTATTTTATCTTTTTCCTTACATGCTCTCTCTCCCTCTCTCTCTCTGTCTCTTTCTCTCTCTCTCTCTCTCTCTCTCTCTCTCTCTCTCTCTCCCTCTCCCTCCCTCTCTCTCTCTCTCTCTCTCCCTCTCTTCTACTTCTCTTTTACTCTTCTCATTTCTTTCTTTTCTTACCTTTCCATTGTTTTACTCTCATGTTTGCTCTTATTCTTGTGTTCTATTCTCCTCTCATTCTTTTCCGCGACTTTTATCTACCGCGTCTTTTATCTTTCCTTTCCTTCTCTACTCTACTCAGCTTCAGGTCTCTCTTCTTTTCTCCTTCCTTCATCTCCCACTGCCTTCTCTCCTCTTCCATTTCCTTCTCTTCTTCACCTTCTTCACCTTCTTTTTCCTTCTTACTGATTTATTTTTAAGAATTCATTCATCGGGTTTTTTTTCATCAGTGACACTCAACGCAACATCGCTTGGATCGCTCTATTACGGTCCTTCCACATATTAATTTTATCATAAACTTACTTATTCTTTTTATTATTCGACATCGTCTATTACAAATTTATTGCGGTTTATCTTTACATTCATCATCAGATACACATTTCCTCTTAAATGAATACAACTTTATCTACTATTGTAGTTATTTTTGTTTTAAGTAACTTTTCTCAAAATATCCAGAAATTTCGCAAGTTGTATGCTCAAACATGATACGTCATCGATTTCTTTTGTTAATTTTCGTCAAGATCGCAAGGTGGCGGTTAAAACCGGTATTTTTGAACTAGCCACTTCGCTGTCTGTCGAGTGGATCGAGATAGGGTTTAAATTGTTGGCAATCGTAGAGTCGCACCGTTTCTAGCGGGACTTGTTGACGCCCAGCAGCTGACAGTCACGGTCGCGACGATGGCCACGTGCAACGCGACTCGGCGTGACGCACATGTCCGCTCAGTACACAGTATGCCTTAGCTCGCGAAGTATCAGTTATACGTCTTGCCGTAAGATTCTCCTCGGACGTTTCTCGCAAGAGCGAAACTCTTTCTCCAAATCTCTCATCTTTCAGCGACAAATAATCAACAGTGATCAACGATGAAATAGTGAAGCAACACGATGTGCCAAAGTAACACATGTAACTGTAAAAGGTTTACGTGTCTAACATCAGTGTAGAAAAGAAAAAGACATATCATCTCTCGGCTGAATATGGAATTGGAAGATATGCGGTAAGAGATGTAATAGATAATAATAAAACAGTAAATAAAGGTGTCCCAAAACGAATGAAAGTTGTACATAAACAGGAGTTTGAGATCGCTTCTGTTTGAGATGATAAGCGTTACTTGTTTGCTTACAACTTATCTTGGCTACTTGTGAAAGTATACTAATTCAATATTCGAAAAAGTATTATTTGTTTAGCGCAGCGCTTTTTATCTCATGTATTGTAAGTGTTCTCGTATCCAATATACGTCTCTATTAGCGTAAAGATGCGCAAGACATGTAACAGTGCATGCAGTTTCGCGATATCGCAAGGTAACGTCACGCTTGCAAAAATGCGACGTAACGCGTCGAGCGAATTCCAATGTTTCACGTTTAATCGATATCACGTCGAGGCTACATCTTATCAGTTGCACACGATATAGCCGCTGACATTCGTCGTTCGATGTATACTCGATACGTAAACGGAGTTATAGTTAAAGCCGGTGTTTGTATCTTATTGCTAGCTTACTTCATAATTGCGAATCATCATGAGGAAACATTCAGCGATAAATTTGTAAAATTAGCCACTTTGATGTGATATATCTAAGCATAAATATACACGATAAGTCATTTGTTTATACTAAATAAACAAAGAAATGAAAGAGAATGAAATAATATACTCTCGAAACTATTTTCCTTCTAAATAAAAGAAGGAGTATTCGAGCATTTTTCAGTGATAAAATTTGTTATCTATTTAGAAGCACTTTAATTTGATCAATCGCGATTCGTTCGATGACCTTTCAACGAGTTATATATTTCTCTCGTTGCATTGAAAATTTGCGTTAGATCTACAGTATAGAACAAAATAAAATTTTGAACGCATTTTGGACACTTTCATATTTGCTTGAACGTAACTCGGTAATCTTGACAAGTAGAAAAGAAATATATTCGGATAAAAAACACACAAGATCCATAATAATAAGCGAAAAACGGGCGGTCTGTCAGTCAAAACGGGACGATAAAGTTTGTAGAACGCGGAGAGAGGAGAAGAATGGTAGGTTTTGCGACGGGGTAAATTCATATACCTGTGTATTTTCGTAAACCGCCCCTTTGCCGTTACCCCTCTCGCTATTAACGGAGCGGTGAGCGCCATTATTTCCAAGCTGCCTTAAGCGCTCGTTTTCATAGTCGACGCTTATTGATTTTAGCTTCGAAACGCACGCGATGGGTGGGTGAGAGAGAAGAAGGGTTGAAGGTTGGTGGCTCTAATTGGATTAAAATTTCATCGATGGGTGCACCTTTGCAAGAACCCTTTTACGTTGAGACACTGGATGCTGGGTTTTCATCATAAATCGCGGTATAATTATCCTTAAATGATCATGAAATAGCAGGATATAGGAAGGACGAAACGTGCGCGATATGAGGAGAAAGGATGATCGACAGGTTGAGCTTTTATAGTGAAAAGTCGACACGAAAGATGAAATATGATGCATATCATGTCGTGAGGGACAAGGAATATTTATGATAAAGTAAATCAAAATTAAGTAGAATCTCTACAGAGCGAATCTTCGCGCGAGATTATCCGATTATTCAAAAATCAATTGTAATTTCAGGGACGTCATATTCGACATTAATAATGAGCGAGAGGTTGGCGCGAAATCAGAGTATAATTCGCGATTACTCAACGTGAAATTCAAATGAATGACTCTCGCAAAGTTTCCTCTGACGTTGAAGGTTGAATGGCAAAAAATTGGAACGAAGTCGGCAAGAAATATTCGTGGAATATTTGACCAGAAATTCGAACAGCCTTCGTAAGACTCAAGATAGTTTCAACTGAAGTTTTGAAGCTGATGATATAAAAAGAAAAGAGGGGACTAATCATAAGAATAATAAATCGACAAATAAATTGCATAGGATTTTTATAAAGTGTCGAATATATCTCGAAAACTAACCTTTTAGGAAAAAAAATGTTACAGACAAAAGTTGTATAGTGTTTCAAGGAGAACACAAAACAACTATATCATTTTGTTTACAAGTGGCGCCACTTTCGAGATATTTACTAATCGTTACTTTTTTTAAATGGAAACCTCAATTCTTCATTATATCATCTTTTTCTATCAATTAATTTTATTAATTTTATAAATTTTATTAATTTTAATAATAATTTTATTAATTTTAACTTGATAACTTTTTAATGAACAATGAGCACTGACTAAAACTTTTTGAAGATTAGTCAACGCCATGTCCTTAACAATATATGTGGAGTTCGGAGATATCAGAGGTAGGCACCAGTATACATATATATACTATATTTACCATACTTAATGCCATACACGGAACGCCAAGTCCGCAAATAATTCACGAAAAATTGACAAAAGAGTGACAAGCGGATAATACATTTGTACATATGATCGAGAAAGCGACGGAGCACCACAACAATCTGCGAAGGAGTCGTGGTGGCTGTCAGCGGAAGTCAATGAGGAGTATGCGATTCCTGCGAGAGACTCGAGGGTGTCCGGTGGCTAATTATCGAATACCGTTTATACGAAACTATGCGAGCAACGCACGGTATCCTGCGGAATACAGCCGCAAGACTCGCCCTAAAAATCACATTTTCGCGTTACTGCGGCCCAGAATCGGAGATTGCGATCGATCGACTTAATCTGTTGCAAGATGAATCGCCGGCTATGAATAAGAGAAATACGATGTCAGATAATATTCAAAAAGCTTGTGAATATGGAAAATTATCATTGCTCTTAATTACCACCGTTAATTTATTTAGCAATATCTGTGTTCTAATCATCGGAAACTAAAAAATAGGATTTAACCGAAGAAATCACATGTATCTAAACATACGTTTTCAAAATTGCAACTGTACTTCAAACCGTATTTATTCGAAAAAGAAAGCAAAATAGTAAGGTACATCAATGCACATTGGCGTTATTTATTAATCAGGATCGATTTTTATTATCGCTTCTCACTCGTGAGATATATACGGACGATAAAAACAATATTTTTTAACATTCTAAAAATACACGAGTTTTGCTGAAGGCGGGAAAGTATACAAATCGACGTCACATTACAGCCGTTATAAGAAGCTAATGAGGATATTTGAAGATGCGCAAACAGAGAAAATTTTTTTAAATAATTTCACCGAGAGAGCTTCAGACTGCAATTGCTGCAATAATTTTTCCTTCCCCGCTTCGCTTTTATTTTTCGTTGAAAAAGATAAGGTGGTCGACGAAGCACACATAGAAGAGAGAGAGAGAGAGAGAGAGAGAGAGAGAGAGAGAGAGAGAGAGAGAGAAGAAGAAGAAGAAGAGAAAAAATGAAAGAGAGACGAAAAGGTGGAGAAAGAAAGAGAGAAAGACCTAATCTTTTCTTTCGAAGCATCCCTTGTATCCCGTCCTTCCCGAGATCCTAATGGATCGAGAGTAGTTTTACGTCACGGCCGAAGGCTTTTTTTCGAGGATACACCCTCCTTCACCCTTGTTTACAGGGGTTTTCCGCTCTTCTCGACTATAGCTACAAATTTGCGAGTTTAATGACCCGTTTAAGTCATCGACAAATTCCAAAAATACTCATCCAATTAGCCACATCGAGCGTTCTCGGAAAATTTGTTTCATAAAATCATGGAAATTATGGAATTATAAATTTATGGAAAAATATCACAAAATCAAAATAACTTTTCGTCTCAAGTAATAACCTCTCCTGAGTAATGCTTGTCGTTTCTTTTATGGAGAGAGAAAAAGAGAGTGAGGGAAACAGAGAGAGAGAGAGAGAGAGAGAGAGAGAGAGAGAGAGAGAGAGAGAGAGAGAGAGAGAGAGAGAGAGAGAGAGAGAGAGGGAAACAGAGAGAGAGAGAGAGAGAGAGAGAGAGAGAGAGAGAGAGAGAGAGAGAGAGACGGAGGGAGACAACGGGAGAGAAAGAAAGGCTGAGGGCCGTATTATTTTAATAATAACTGAAATAGCATTATTTTAATAATTATACAACGGCGAAAGAATAGGATTTCGCGAAATTAAGATTACAGAGAGAATTACAGCATGTTTCAACTCTAAATTTTACTAAGCTCTCCACGAAAACTCCCTTCGTCTATTTTAGCTATTATTATTTCAAATTATTTAAATAATCATGAAGAGTCATCCGAGTCTCTCTCATAATTATCCAAATAACTTTAACCATCCTGCGTCGCCTAACCTTTTAACCGAATTTCGTCGATTTTTTATTTAAATATTCTCCCGCACGAGACCATGGAACAAAGCTTGGGATTTCGAGAAGGATTATAAAAGGGTGAGAGGAAGAGACGCGCGCGCGCGCACAGACATCGCCGGGTGAGTCGCTCTAAGGGAAAGTTCGCCGGACTAAGCGGAATCCGCTTTCGGATTTCGCGCCGCGCGGACAGGAAGCCGTCCGTTAAATTATTCACCATGACTGTCATATCTAAGCATGAAAGGGTATGGAAAATTCCCCGGGTTAAGGGCTGAGACTCGGTGTACCTTCTTTGGACAATCCTATAAGGATACTACGCTGCCTTTGCCCGACACCCAATCCACACGACACGACCTATAACTTCATAATTCACTATCCGTGGCCTTAGCTCCATAGCGCTAAAGAGAACATACAACGCGGCGTGTACAAAGTGTCCCGCGAGTAAACATAAATACTTTATGTTGACAAGGCCGGCGAATTTCTACGATGATCTTCGGGGACGCGATATCCCCGATCAAGGACGCGAATCTATGTAAGGATCAATCAAGACTCGTAAGGATTCCGTTGCAGGTCCGCCCAATTCTCATCCGTCCACCGTGGACGAGTTAATTAAACGTGCTAATGAATTGGACCAGCGAGCTCTGAACTGCAAAGTTCAAGATTGAATGAAACTTTCCCAGCGTAAAATTAACATTAATTCCGCCGCGATTTCATTTGTGCTGATTAAATGTTAACTCGAAAAATTGACTTACCACGAGATACACACACGTATACACACAGGGTCAGAATTTTCTTGATACAACCAAGAAGGAGATGATTCTACATTTCAGAAATAAAAAAAATATTGAAATGATTCAATAACCTTTCTCTGATTGAAGAGTCGTTTCCGAAAAAGAAAAATTTGTTTGAAAATTTGTCAAGTACGCGTACACCTGACCGAAACTCGACAAATTTATTTCCGCTGATGTTATGATTTCCTAATTTTACAATAATTTAAGGAATACAATTTCCTAATGTCATTGTGGTAGTCATACGTGTTAAGGTAATTCTCGTTTTTAAAAAAGATTAGTCTCGACTCTTACACACGCGCACGCACACGTACATTACAAGACTCAAGTGTCAGATTAAGACTTCAGAGACTACGATGTTATATGGTTAACTTTATCGTAAATCCTTTTCGATACGAGATATCACTCTGTGTTATGCACAGATGTGCGCTCGTTACACGGAAATAATATTCACGCATTCACACGACTGTCCACAGACACCGAAATAATCCTAAGAATTCGCACCACTCTCACTGCCTTCGTAAACACTTTGGAAATTAGCCGCAGGGGCATAGAAATGTGCGCACGAACGTATTTCCTCTTCTATTTTTCTTCCTTGTTCGTCTCTAGCAAAAAGTAACGAGTTTTCGCGAGAAGAATACTTCATCGAGTAGGCAACGTTGGGTCCGGCCTCGGAAATGGCGACAGCTTTTATTATAGGATTCCCCGACTTCATGAGCCCGAGCTCGTGCGCGTTGCGGTATTGCTTGGAATACTTGGCATTCTGGAACGAAAGCTCGTAGATTCGCAAGCCCTCGTAAAAGCTAACGAGAATTCGCACAATGACAGCGTTCCCTTTCTGCCTCCCCCTCCCTTCCTCCCTACACATCTCCTCTTCATCGAATCCATTTCCCGTTACATTGATATTAATCGAATGATTTATTTGTACATTTATGAATCACCGTCCCTTCGGCTGTCCTATTCAGTTCGTCTCGAATCGTGTCGAATCGCTGAAATTGCGAAATCCTAGCAACGTGAAACTCCCCTCCGAATGTTTCGCGAAATCGCGAAATCTACAACTCGCTCTGAACAGTCGCGGTACGTATCTCGTACGTATAAAGTTCTGAATGAAAGAAATTTTATAAAGCAGTAACGGCCTATATGCAGGTTTTTCGGATTGATTAATCTTTGAGAATAGTGTGTGTGTGTGTGTATGTGTGTGTACGACATTTCCAATTATTTTTGAAGATGTACATTTCTCACAATGGCAACGTCAGCAGTCGCTGATGATATCCATCAGTAGCAACGATATTCTGCAAGGAGCAATTCTTCGGAACTCGCAGAAGCGTAAAGTATTATGCGAAGAATTATGCGAAACACATGAGAATACCTTCTGAGGTCTCTCTTTCTTTATCTTCCCAAATCGCAACGTTGCACATTTGCATTGAATCGCAATATTACCTATATAGCCTCGTAGCCTATTACGATACCGCGATAACTATCGCGTTACTGACATCGTTATAACGGACTGGAACGATTCCGCAGCGTACTTGCAGCGGCTTTAATCTCAGGTTAGAATTCATGCGAGTTAAACATTATAGCTGGCTTTCGCGCAAGGTGTACACCGTTCACCGTCGTATTGCAACGCACCTACGCGGATGCATATATGATCTATTCTGCAGGATTCTGCGTACTGCATTTAATATTGCCAATATTCGGTAACAGATTGGAATCAGATCGGCTGAGTACGACATCGTTACACTTGTCTTGAACGATGTATCGATCATTATTTTTCGAGTTGACGCTGAAAATAATAAACAATCGAGATGTATCGTGAATGCTTTCGTTCCTCTATCTGAATTTCTTCCGAACAAATAGCTTGTAGAATCGTGCGAACTCCGCGAAAATCATTCGATACCATAAAATTATACGAATACGCTACTATATGAAAAGAAGATGCAAACTCTCG